TGATGCGGTAACAGACAGACAGACAGACAAAAATTCTAAAAACTATAGATTCGGCTTCTGTATCGATAATAATATCTATTTCAATAAGATTTTCGAAAAAATATCTAATGCACAGATTCGGCTTAGTTAGAATTTTATTATATGTATAGATATCAAATATTCCTTTAAATATAATTAATACGTATTGCATTGTATACAAAGCTATATATTGCTATTATGCAATATATATGAGACGACGTACAAAGGAGATTTTATACCCTTTTAAATAATATACTCTATGTTGTCCGGTCCGGTCGTGCGTGCTAACAACGGATTTGTCCTTCAAATTAGATCAGATCCATGGCTATACAAAATCCGAGCGTGTGTGCGGGTGGGCTATTTCTAATAAGAAATAAATTAAAAATGAAGTTTTTCGCCTAAATTTAACTAGGACAAAAACTTCCAGAGATAAGAGCGCTCATACAAACAAACGTACAAATTCTTTACATTTATCTCTACTATATAAAATAAACTGCCTCGGTGGTGTAGTGGCTAGCATGTACGGCTGCACACTTGGAGGTCTTGGGTTCGAGTCCCGGGTCGGGCCAAGTTTAGTTATTGAGTCTTTCTGTATAGTAAGTCTGAGTAACAGCCCGGAGTTGGGAAGTTGGCGGTGTTTCACCTCCGTGCATCGGAGAGCACGTAAAGCCGTCGGTCCTGCGCCTTAACTCTCACTGGTCGTGTCGAGCAGTCGTCCCACCGGAGTATGAGAGTGACAGGAATAGAGAGTCTGCGCGTACACTTGCGCACTATAATATCTCCTGTGCAGTTGGCTAGTCTCAATGAGATTGGCCGCCGTGGCCGGAATCGGCTAGGAGAACATCATCATCATAAAATAAAGTAGCTGTCTGCGTTTATCTATTACTCCGCTTACTTCTTCAATCACGTAACGGATTTTGATATTATTGTTTTCTTTAATAGAAAGAACGATACATATTTTGTACAAAATGACTGAGTTTTGTCAAAAAAAAACTGCTTTCGTCCAATTACATGGCTAACGCTGGCATTAAGAGATACATCAAACCAAAGTACAAGAAAATTGTAGGTCTTAATATGGCCTACAGAAATCTGTGATAGCATGTGCCTTTCTCTTAAAGTACGCTGCTAATAACCATTTTTATCCACATAAAAAGTAACGCGTCCGAACGAAGCGAGGGCAAGTCGCTAGTATATTTATAAAATTAATATGCAGTCCAACTCCTGTATTAAAATGAATTTTGCAAGCAGTTCTCTAGAAAAAGAAATAAGAGTGTGCAGTTTGAATAAAAATATATGAAATATGTATATGGAAGAAAGGAATGATTAAATTGATGAGGTTAAAACAAACGTATTTACTCCATTGTGTTTTAAATTTAAGCAGATTTTTATGACATTTAAAGATATAAGCATACGGTAGTAATAAACAAGCTTTGAGAAGATTCACCGTAATTACTTTTAAACTAAAAATATAAGCCGACATTGAAATTAATTTAGAACTAATTATTCCATCGTTATGGGTGAAATTTAATATTATTTATGAGATTAATCTCAAATTCAGCTATTAAAATCGGTCATCCATACTAATATTATGAATGTGAAAGTGTGTTTGTATGTTTGTTTGTTTGTCCTTCTTTCACGCCGAAACAGAGTGACGGATTAGCGTGATTTTATCTGTTGAGGTAGTTGGAGGGCTGGAGAGTGACAAAGGCTATATTTTACCGCGGGAAATTATCTCATTTTCATGGAAAAACACGTTATACTACAACCCAAAAACGATATTTATGGCCAGATTTACTGGAAACTTGGTATTAATGCTCTTCAATACAATTAAATAAATATATTTTTTAGCATTTTTCGAAATCCATCTCATAAGGGGGTAAAATAGGAGACAAAAGTTTTTATGAAACTACCTTTTTAGAGTTTTTTTTTTAGCGCGAGCGAAGCCGCGGGTACTGCTAGTATAATTATATATTTACATCTAGCAAAGATATGACGTTTTTTAATACATGGTAAAATAGCAGTAGCATTTTACGTATAACTAGTGTTAAAATCTTCAGGATACTAGTTAAAGTCAATGTTGAAATTAGGTTAAATAATCCTTATTTAATGTACAAAGTACTTTAGGGAATAGAATCTGCGACCACTCTCAACTGTAACGGTATGATTAAAACTATCATTTAGAACTTGTTCCTCTAATTTGAACGCATTAGCTAATGAATTTCATACATTGGCTAACGTTGTATTTTCTAGGACTGACCTTTAGAGAGTAGAAGCTTTCTATAAGAAGAGCGTTAGGATAAACTAATGGGTTTAAAATTTTTTATATTACTCTTTTTAGTTCTCCTGGAGGTAACGAGTTCGATACCTGACTGGTAATATTGATCTTAGTGTACTGGCTTAATATTATGTCGGCCTAGAAAAAAGACAAAGAAAGAAAGAAAAGACAAAGCTGACACAAAAAGTTGCCTATATGTAAATCAAAGATATGAGCTATCTTTTTTCTGAATTTCATCCAAATCCATCTAGCCATTTCAACGTGATGGGTTTTCAAATACACATTCATACAAGTACAAATGTTCGAATCGTATTAATGTTATAAATGTGAGTTTATGAGTATGGATGTTTGTTACACTTTCATGCCAGAACGGCTAAACGGATCTGGATGAAATTTGACACAGAGATAGATTATAGTCTGGAATAGCACATAGGCTACTTTTTACCCTGGAAAAATTTACGGGTCCTGTGGGATAGGTTTGTTTTTGTTTTCCTAGAGGCAAACTCGAGCGACGCGAGGGTGAGCCACTAGTGTATATTATACAAAATATGTTAAATGACTGTCGAATTTGGAAAGATAATTAATCAGTTACCTATACCATCAATAGACACCGACCACTGCTATCTATACTTGCACTTGTAGGCGGTTGTTAGTGAGACCACAGTCGCAGTGACCAACTATTGACCATTGGTCGTGGTTCTACTTTAGTTAAATGCGTGGTATTGAATACAACATAATGTATGGCGACCATTGTCGTGGTCGCGGTTCTTGATAGCTAAGTGTGCAACAAGCTTAAACTTATCCTGTAATTTGAAAGCATTAACTAATGAATTTTGTGCACTAGCTAAGCTTGTATTTTCATGAAATTTTATCTAGCTTTCAACTTAACTTTCTATTAGGGTCCATACCCAAAGAGTGCCAACGGAACCCTATTACTAAGCCTCCGCTGTCCGTTTGTCCTCCTGTCAGAGGGCTGTATCTCATGAACCGTTATAGATAGTGTGTATTTCTATTGCCACTATAACAACAAATAATATAATAAAAAAATACAAGAAACATATTTTTTACGTTCGGATCCGATTATCGAAATTAATACACTATACACATAGAGTAAAAGTCTTATTAATAAAAAGTAAATGTAATAATACGGAACCCTTCTGTGAGGATTGGACTCGCATTTTACCCATTTTTATGTCTAGCAACAAGAATGCTCGCGGACGTAAGCAGAACATTTTACCAAAGTCTAATGATTAAGAAATATACTTTAATATAATAGATATTTCCTACATTAAAACGAACAGTCAAACTATTTTCAGATACTAACGACACGTTTGGCTGTTGTAGTGACCCTACTTGCTGTGCCAGCAGTCGCGGGTTCGAGTCCCGCTGGGGGTATTCATTTTTGTGATGAAAACGAATGTTTGTACTCTAGTCATGGGTGTTTATATTTATAATATGTATGTATTTAAAGTTATATTTGTGTAGTGTATCAACTATCTGGTATCCATAACATAGGCCTCGTAGCTTACCATGGAACTAGATGGTCCTGTGAGTTAATGTCCCAACATATTATCATATTCACACATCGGCCTACTATTATTTGTAATAAGTCTAAATGATATTTGTTTCGCGAATCTTTTAAAATTTACGTTACTTCTTTATAACTTTTATTTTCTCATAGTCGATGACAGAAAAAGGTTATAATTTTAAGCGTGCTTTAGTAAGTATACACATAGAGCGAAATAAAAAAAAGAATTATCCACATTTTTCACAAATTTCCACTAACTTTGCTAATTTTGGAAGTTAAAAGTTCAGATAGCTTTTTGTTGAACTTTATGCTATTTTTTATTATTTTAAATCCACAAATATTTTTTAGAATTAAAGTACTTACTGAAATATTTTATATATTTATAAAAACACGAATAAATATTATGATTGTTGATTTAAATTTAAATTAGATTCCCCATACAAACATTTTCATCTCCATTTTCACCCCCTTAACGGATGATTTCCGAGATAAAAAGTATCCTATGTCCTGCCCAGGATCTCAAACTATCTTCTTATCAAATTTGATGTAAATCGATTCAGTAGATCCAGAGATTACCCCCTACAACGTCACAAACTAACAAATTCACGAACTTTAACTCTTTATAATATTAGTATAGATTAGTTAAATAGTTTTCTACACTGTACATACATATGTAGGTATAACAGTGATAACTTATTTGTAATACGATCGATTGGAAAGCCAGTAAAGCGGGTTCATATCCAAGTCTCACACTCTCTTCTTACTAATAGTACTTGTTAGTTAATACGATAAAGAAAAATATAGGAAACTTCCATGTATGAGAAAACCTAACTGTTTTATAACTTAGTTTTAGAAAAACATTCATATATTTGGCATTATAATATTTGGCATTCGCTTTGCCTCAGATAGATTGGGAAAAACTGTATTTTTAATTCATAATATTTTCAATAAAACTATCTGATCAGATTTTTTCCCGAATCTATTTTGATTTTCGTTTTTTATACTTTAGAGCAAACAGGGTTACGGTAGAGACCAATGAGAGAGATCAGTCAGAAAGTTTTATTTAAATTGTGAAATGTTCGCCTATATATATGTATAAAAAGTATTATTATACATAATATATAAAAAGTTTATTTCATATTCATAAAATATACCATATATACTATATAATATACTTACCAGATAATAAACTCCAAAGGGCATGACGACAACCGCTACCAGCAAATCAGCAACTGCCAAACTCACGATAAAATAGTTCGTAGCAGTCTGTAGACTCTTTTCTCTTGCCACACTCAATATAACTAGTACATTCCCGAACAACGTTAATAACGGAAACACAATTAACGATAACGCCCAGAAATTATACTGCCCATCACTACACGTCCCGTTATGAAATGTCAAATTTAATTCGTTAAACTCGTAAAAAGTTCTGTCAAAGTCGATTGAATAATTGACAGTGTAGTTATCTTCTATCAAACTCCGGTTTAAAATGTCTGAATTGTTTTTGATTATGTTCTTGCATTGGTTGCAGAATTTGGGATCCATTTCAATGTTGTAGCAATGTGTTCATTGTGTCTTATATTTTGATCTCTGTTGATTTGGTTGGATCGTAGTCCACTCGCACTCGGGCACGCGTACATAGCTCCGCCTCATCTCGCTAACCTGGAACATATTACATAAGTTATGTTACGGATAGTTCTAATATATCATGTGGCATGCTCGCAAAATGGTTGACCTCGATAAAAAAAACTAATTTCATATTAAAGAAACAAACTTTGGTTTTTAATTATGTAGGGGATTTTCCTCTTTTCTCCTGCGCAGTTGGCTAGTCTCAATGAGATTGGCCGCCGTGGCCGGAATCGATCAGGAGAACATCATAGATTAAATTATTTGGGTATTGTTAATACAAAAATACTAAAATCACGATAAAAAAATGGGAGTGGGGGTAGGAGGGTGAAAAATACTTTACGACCTATTCTCATACCTATCAAATACACAAAAAAAAAACCATTAAAATCGGTCGAGCCGTTACGGAGGAGTGCGGTCACAGACACCATGACACGATATATATATATATATATTATATATATAGATATATATATATATATTATATAATATAGCACGATACTGTAAGATATATTCTAAGGCTTGATTAGGCTTGTAGTATGTTATCTTTAGATATAAAATACCGATGTGCGTGTGTTAGTAGTTCTTCTCGTCCTAAACAGCTTGAACAATATTGATGAAATTTTATTTTGGGCAAGGCAGGTAACGATGTTTTTGAAATCTAGACTTATTGAATTTTACCGACTAAACAAGGTCTTTTGTGGAAAGTGTCCGGGCCCTGTTTTACTATGATATTCTATGAACAAATTAAAATAATTACTTTTTTAACTAAAGTCGACTTTTAACTAAAGAATAATTAAATGTATTATATATTACCTATTTATTAATGGATATATATTATTTACATAACAAAATTAAATATGAATTTAATACATATATACATTATCCCGCTTTAATTACTTGGTATCCAGTCTCAAATTATAAAGAAATATATATAGGCATAAAAAAGGTTTTTCTAAGAGGAGAAGGTAAAGGTCACAATTTTAACCTCAGCTATTAATTTACGAGTATATAATAAGAGTATAAATATTTCATGTCAAGATGTTAGACGTAGGTCACGAATTAATTATGAGTAATTGCGAGTATTAATACATGATGAAATATTATATAGTGATCATTTGTAATATATATAATACCCTCGCTTCGCTCGAGTTCGTCCCTTGGTTGATTCCCTATACAAAATTTTTCAACCATTTTCAACCCCTTAAGGGATGATTTCCGATATAAAAAGTATCCTATGTCCTTTCCAGGGTCTCAACTATCTTCTTACCAAATTTCATCTAAATCGGATCAGTAGATTCAGAGATTACCCGCTACAACCTCACTAACTCACAAACTTTACCTTTTTATAATATTAGTATAGACTAGCATTGCCCGCGGCTCCGCCCGCGTTCAGATGACCAAGAACCAAATAAAATAGCGCTATTGTTATTATTTTTTTCAAGATAAGCTATTTTTAATACTTTTTGCCTTATTTACTGAGTTACCTTGCTAAAATATATATAGTATCATCGTGGTCTTATTGTAGCCAGTTTTTGTATTTTTTCTAAGAAATGAGATATTTTACCGCTATAAAAAGTATCCTATATGTTGATACGGATAACCAGTTACGACTATACCAAATTTCATCAAAATCTCTTCAGTAGTTTTTCTGTGATGCGGTAACAGACAGACAGACGAAAATTCTAAAAACTATATATTCGGCCTCTATATCGATAATAATGTCAATTTCAATAAGATTTTTAAAAATATATTTACTGTACAGATTCGACTTAGTTAGAATTTTATTATACTAGCGGCTCACCCTCGCTTCGCTCGGGTTCGTCGCTAGGTAAGTTTTAAATAGCTATAAATAGTTATTAGACAGCGTTAGCTTTATAAATTTTATATTTTTTTGTTAAAAAAACTTTTTAACAAAAAAATAAAAATCGACTTCAAACAAAAGCACTAAAAAGTAAAAAATAACTGATTGGTAGTTTTCATTTACTATACATACCTAACCAAAAATTTTCGAAAAGTCGGTGTGATTCTTTGCTTTGTATCAGGCTGGCAACCGATTTCGAAAATATTTGATTGGGTATGTATTTAATAGGTAGGCTTTGATAAACTAACTTTTTAATTAGGGATGACTGAGAGTGTTTATAAACGTATAAGAGTAGACAAATATAAATAGAAAGCTTCGAAACTGCTAAGCTATCGGGAAGTTACACATGTTATTGTGAGTCAACCATAAAAGATAGACATATGCTGTCGTGGGATATTTTTTATATATTTTAAGGAGACAGTTTCCGTCATACAAGATTTTGTGTAGCTTTAACCATTAAGGTTGCACACGCGACGGAAGCTTAAAAATGGAGTAACTTCTCCAACTCCGTTTCCCCAACATTCCCTTCACTGCTCTGCTCCTAGTGATTGTAGCGTGATGAAAAAGTTATACTTTAACCATCTCAGGAGTATGAAAAATAATCTGTACCAAGTTTTCGTTAAAATATCCGTCGAGTAGTTTTTGTTTCTATAACGGTTATACAGACAGACAGACAGACAGACAGACAGACAGACAGACAGACAGACAGACAGACAGACAAAAATTTTACTGATTGCATTTTTGGCATCAGTATCGATCCCTAATCACCCCCTGATAATTATTTTGGAAATATATTTCATGTACAGAATTGACCTCTCTACAGATTTATTATAAGTATAGATAAAGATGTATGGATAAGTACTTTGGCGAAAGGGTATAAAAATTGGATCAAAGAAGCCCTTTATAGGGGATAGACAGGTGTAAAAATATTTTTTACATGATTGCTGAAATGTGATTTTTTAATAGATAAGTGTTTTTAAAGTAAAATTTCCTTGGCAAATATCACAATTAAATTAAAACAATCATCAATTTTCAGAATATCGTATACTGAAAGAATATAATATTTTATATTTGTCAGACAATAACAATGGTTACCATGGCAACATGGTAATGTATTCTATCCCATTCTCTCGCCGGCTTAATCCAATATATTTATGTGTTTGTCTCTTTTTAGTGTCGCGTTTTCGTTTCATCGAGTATCAAATCACAACGATTCTAAAGAAGTTTTGCTTCAAAATTGATTCCCTCGGATATACAAGTACGATTCAATTGTCAATAAAAGCTATCAAAGGACGAGTTGTACGAAACCAAGCGGATTATTTAGCTGGTCTTTTAGATTTAAGACAATTACCATATGCGGTGTTTCCTTTAGCCTTTACACAAACTTATTTGACGCACAAAGGCCGTGAACAATATGCTATCATTGCATCCGGTTCGTCAAAGGCGTATGTATGTATATACGTGGTGAAGTGATGGTTTGAATTTCAAAACACAGTTTATTATATTTTAGGTAGGTTTCGCTTTGTGCACTAATACTAGGAGTGGCTATTTTTGAGCAGTATTTTGTTTCGTTTGTTTGCGTTTATTTTATAAAGAATTTTATGTTGGACTAGCGTTTGCCTGTGGCTTTACCTGAGTTTTTTTATTTATATAAGAAATTTAATCTTAAGTGTCGCAGCTTGTTATTCGACGTTCCTCAATAAATCTAAAATATTATAAACGGGAAGATTTGTATTTTTGTATGTTTGTAACGAATAAACTCAAAAACTACTGGACCGATTTAGATTAAATTTGGTAAGAAGATAGTTTGAGACCCTGGAAAGGACATAGGATATTTTTTTATTTAGGAGATCATTCTTTAAGGGGGTGGAAATGGGGATGAAAGTTTTGTATGGGGACTCAATCCAGGGACGAGCTCGAGCGAAGCGAGGGTGAGTCACTAGTATTACTAGCTTATATTTTTTATAGCTTAAAGCTATAAAAAGCAAAAAAAATTTTTAAATAAAATTGGTAGAGATTTTTGAAATTAGCTCGCTGAAGTAAACAAAAAATAAATTCTGCTGTATATTAGAATAGATAGTCTATTAAGGAAGATTATGAAATATGTATTTGCCTTGGGCTTGAACCACGCAGTGATCATAAATTTCAAGAACTATGGGTGTATTTTATATAAATAATATTACATGGGAAATTGAAAATATGATTAAAGGAATAGAAAAGTTTATTTGATAAACATTAAATAATAAAAAGAATCAGTGGTAACGGACCGTCTTGGTTATCCGTGTGAAGCGGGTTTAAATCCCGGGTCTTACACCCCTGATATTTTCATGTGCGAATCATTACCACTTGCCTTACAGTGAAGGAAAACATCGTGAGGAAACCTGCAGTTTGAGAGAAGCTAGCAAGTTTTCAAGACACTTGTGAAGTCCACCAAACTTGCACTTGGCCATCGTGGTGGACTACAGCCTGATCCCCCTCGTATCGAAGAGAAGCCCGTGCCTAGCAGTGGGACGTTAGAAAGGGATGAATACAATATAATTGAATAATATAGATACCCTATATTTGTATATATCATAATTTTCTTTATTTTTCTTCCCATTGTACATACAGTGGAATATACTATAATTATCGTATCGAATCATATCGAGATTATCGAGTATATATCTGAGAGGCGGGAAACTTATTAGAAATAGCAAATTATTAAATAGTTTCA